CCCAACATAGAACAGATCCCCTCCCCTCCCTCCACCTCATCCACGAAGGCAACCAATCCCCTCCTAGAGGCTGCCTTTGCCCACCCCTTGTCCCTGTTTGCCCCCGCTAGGGTTGAAGGCGACCTACTCTCCAACATTGGCCCCAGACTCAGACAATCCCCAATCTGCGCTACTCCCAATAGGGCTACTGCCTCCCACCATGCAACACCCCTGTAGAATAAGGTTCCCCTATAACAGACCCCTGGGTTAATTTTTCGGGGACAACTAACTAGTAGTCTATACCCACAACTAGCCATCCCTATCTCTCCTTCCCCTAGCTTACCCAAGGCCAGGCGGAGCCCAGGCTGACAGTCCTACCATCCTTCCCCTGGCTTGTCCCCTAACTTAGGCCAGACGGATCTCAGACCTGCTGTGGGTAACTACCGTATGTTTGTACCCTGAAGTCTAAAAAAAACCCTGCCTACCAAAGTTCCAGCCATAAACTCCAAAGTCCTATCCCCACTAAAGCGTCTGCAAAATTCAATGTTTAAAATCCCCAATTAGGAAGAAAAACTCATGAAAAAACGAAATAAAGAAAATTCACCTTACCCCAATCAGGGGGAACAGGCAGGGCAAAACCTAGTGGTGAAGTTACTAAAAAATCCCAACATGAAAACGTTATGTTTGAAATTACTACTACAAATAGTAGTAATCAAGAAGTAAGTAATCAAGAAGTAAGTAATCAAGAAGTAGGTAATCGGGATATAGGTAATCAAGATATAGGTAATCTAGATGTAGGTAATCAAGATATAGCTAATCAGGATGTAAATATTAATGACTATTGGATAATTGGGTAGCCGAAAAGGATACCCTGAGACTAAAAGGTTTTCAGATGATATTAATATTAATGATGGTAGTGATGATGATGATGATGGAAATGTTATTGAGTGAAACAGTAGCCTCAAGATAGTGGTGGCGATCAACTTCGCCTACAGATGATAGTTGTGAGGATGATAGTGTTGATGATCGTGATACAACAGATGATAGCTATGAGGATAATAGTGCTGATGATCGTGATACTATAGATGGTGAAAATCACTATAGTAATGACTAAACACCCATAGAGATGTAATGATGATGAGGATGTCAACTAATTATCCATTATGTTGATGACGATCGCCTTGCCGCAAGTGATGATGACTAGTAATCTTGATGACGACTTGCTGATAGTGTTGACGAACTCGAGCTTGATGACGGACCGCGCTCCATGCTGTGATACCTCCGATCTGCAAGCTTGGCGTACTTCAGACTATGAATTACACACTTCCATGTCACCTTGGGCTATCTCCACTGCGATCGCCCTCAAGCGCCTTGTTGCCACTTCACCTTGCTAAGTGGCGACGCGGAAATCTTGTGTGGACCCCGTGAAACGGGGCGGTCCCCTGGACACGTCAACCAGTGACGTGGCGAAGACCAGGACCTAGGCTCACGGCAGGTGTGCTAGGCGCAGTCCCCTGCCTCCGTCGTCCTCATCGCTCGACACACTCGAATTTCATGGCGCGCCCTAAATCTTCGATATCTCATGGTCCACTGGACCATTTGATCTGAAATTTGGACCACCTCAGCTCCTCGACATAGACCAATAGTGATCCAATTTTCAGCTCAGGGCGCGCTCCCAATCGCGCGCAATCGTCGAGCGCGCGCGCGCTATTTTCCTTGCTGCCTGCAGTTTTCCAGCGCGCGTGGCTCCTCTCCGTGGCGGTAACCTTGATTGATGATTGATGCTGCCGGGGCGCAGCCACATAGTCCTAACTTTTGGTCAAAGGCCAGTTTTAGGGTCAAAAGTCGTGTCCAAAGTCGTAGAGAGGTTTGATAAAGTTCCTAGGGTCAATGGGTATGTAGCCCAAAGTCAAAAGATCCGTCCAATACCCATACGCCCGACAACTGCCTCTTGGCAAATCAAGAGTCAGACCCAACAGATGTAGCAAAGTGGTTAGAGCACCAGTTGGAAATGTGCATTGTGGTATGAGGTTGCAGGTTCAAAACTCCGCAGCCTTGCGCATGGACAACGGCAGGGCGTTAGAATGACGCACGGCTGGACACATACCCCCTTGGGATGCCACAGGTAAGTTATTACAGACACTGCCTGTGCACCACCCAAGGGTTACTGTAGGCCATTGTTGTTGTATGTGGGGACTGGGCGATGGTGGGTATCCTGATGTTCTTGGTTTACGGGGTTGTCATGAAACTGCTGGGTGGCTCGCATAGTCCGGTTTACTCGAGCCCAGCAGAGCACAACTACAAACTATTTCACAGTGTAGGTTAATAGGTTAGGTCACTTGCACAATTCATATAAGGTTCTGTGTTTCAATACCAGACTGTAACTTAGGGCTGGTCATCCTCTTAGTACGTGGTCAAAGGATTGAGGCTGTCATAGCAGTTCCTTAGTATGGGATGTCGGGAGTGTCAGGATACAGTGCACTTTACCGCAGGGCCGGAACGGGCTTCAGGGACATACGAGGGAACAGAGGATTGTTTGCTCTCAGATTACCATACAACACAAGGCTAAGAGATTATCCAGCACCAACACATACAGTCCATGATTCACGATTGAGGGTGGGCTATCCTCCTAGTACGTACCTTAGAGTTGAGGCTGGCATAGCAGTCCTTAGTACGGATGTCGGGGGTGTCAGGAGATACTGCACCTTACCGCAGGGCCGGAGCGGGCTCCAGAGATATACGAGGCAACGGAGGATCCCCATCTCTCTACCATCAACATCATAGTACACTGTAGTAAAAAGACAACATAAGGATAAAGAAACTCAGTCCATAACTCATGACCTAGGGTTGGCTATCCTCCTAGGACGTAGCATAGGGTTGAGGCTGGCATAGCAGTTCCTTAGTACGGGATGTCAGGTAACTCATGACCTACGGTTGGCTATCCTCCTAGCACGTAGCATAGGGTTGAGGCTGGCATAGCAGTTCCTTAATAAGGGATGTCAGGGGTGTCATGGCTGGAACGGACTCCAGGGACATACGAGGGAACGGAGGATACCCACCTTTCTATCATCACCACACAAATAAGCTAGATGGGAGTCACTCTGCACCCTCATGAAGACCTGTAGTAGCATGTTCAAACCTATAGCTCCCGAAGTCCCCGTGCAATCAGGCTTGCACGGCGTCTGCGTCAACCGTGGCTGAGCAGGGGGTAGGCATCTCTGCTTAGCCCCGGTACCTGCAACCGCTGTCTGGTCAGGTCACCCCGCCAAGATGGCAATGGGTGATGGTCCTGGGTGGTTAACACTACGGTAGGACAGGGGGGTTGGGGGTGCACCAAGGGCAAAAGATAAGAGGAAGGGTGGATGGGGTCTTCAGAGGGGTTCATCTGGACAACCGAGTGGCCGACTACTGTGGGTGACTGCCATCCGTCTAGTATCCCACCTCTATAACAACCTGGGCAACCACTAGTACCTTTGGCGTCCGGTTTCGACAAGTTCTTGCCAGCTCCCGAACTTTCAGGAGGCCGAGCCCAACATTGATCAATCTGATCGGCGGCCGTCGTTTCGTTTCGGCCTCCTGAAAGGTCGGAGGCCCGCTATTTTCCGAACCGACAAAGGTACTAGTGCACTAGTACCTTTTGCGTCCGGTTTCGACAAGTTCTTGCCAGCTCCTGAACTTTCAGGAGGCCGAGCCCGACGTTGATCAATCTGATCGGCGGCCATTGTTTCGTTTCGGCCTCCTGAAAGGTCGGAGGCCCTCTATTTCCCGAACCGACAAAGGTACTAAAAAAAAAAAAAAAGGCAGACCCAGCATAGAAAAGCAGGCCCAAGGTCAAAGTCTCCCAGTAATAAACCAGTCGTAGATCTTTTTTTTTTTTTTTTTTTTTTTTTTTTTTTTCCATTAGTGGGGAGCTTCACCTGCTGGAAACCGGGTCCAGCATCCCTTTAACATCAGGTAACCGGAATTTGTTGGAGGAGAATGAATCAGAGGCCTGTCAGCATTGATTGCCCTGGAGGCCAGGGGATTGACTGTTGACTGCTCATGCAGGTTACCAGAAGAATCCAGTTCCAACAGGGACATGAGACATCTGGGTCAACAGGCCATTGACTTCGGGGACATCTCTACCATGGACGCGGTCCAGTGGGAGGCTGGTCAACGCCAGTCCACGCTATAAGAAGAAGACCTGGCCGAGGGGAGAGGCAAATCTGCCTTGTTGTTGCTCGCGGCCAAGTTGCTGCACCTGAGGCTGGAGTGCTGAGGTGCTGGTGCCAGATGCTGAGGGAAGGCGCCAGCCTTATTGTAGTTGATGATAGAGCGGCTATAGCCGCCATAGCTGTAGCTGGAGAGTTGGGTGAGGAAGAGGAGATTCCGCTCTGTGAGATTGATGGGATGTTCAAGGGGAAGCTTACCTAGACTTTCCTGTGGCCAATGTGATTGAGCTGCTGACCATCTCCACGACGTTGAGGAGGGGCTGCACCATTCGACTTGGACTGCGGAACGAGGATGGGCACTCTGCTGGTGGGAGACGCCCGAACAAGAAGTGTGAGTTGGAGAGCGACACACTTGTATTAATCATAATTAATGTAACTCCTCTCCCTCTTCTGTCTTTTCTCTGTCTTTTCTCTGTCTTTTCTCTCCCCTAGAAAGGGCCCAGTGGCCAAGACTGCAAACAGAAAAGTAGAGAGCACTGCCAAAATAAACAGGAGCCAATAGGCCTCAGACCTTCAACCTTCTTTTTTCTTTTTTTTTACAAGCAAAGGTTTGATTCAATCACACGTTCGACCCTCAGGCCGAGCCATACTCCTGCCAAAAAAAAAAAAAAAAAAGTAAAATAGGAAACCGTGTTTTTTCAATAAGGAATCTCTAAAATCCAGCTAACTACATCTATTTACAGTTCACAAACGAAATTCTGCTTCAACAGCCAAGCTCCCACAAAACCGGTTTTTCACTCCAGTAGGGGCCAAAGGCGCAAAACGGCAAATGTACAAACCCTGTTCTAAGGAAGAATACACGCACAACAATAAAGTGCATCCTGTTCATTAAAATTAAGGACCCCAACGGCTATACAATAAAATACCATTCCTTGCTTGCTGCTGTAACTACATGGGAAAAAAAATAACAACAATAATAGTAATAAAAAAAAAAGGCAACAACAAATCAAATTGGAGCCACTCAGCCAACAACGACAACAAAAAAAAAAACACGAAACAACCAGACCTGTTGAACGTCTTGCTCCCCATGTGAATAATAGATCATAGGCGTGAGGGCAAGCAGGCCTCAACCTCAGGGATGACCATCAACACAAGGGTAGCAACCGGCGAATTGACGATTGAAATTGAATAATAATAATTAATAACATTAACAACAACAACAACAACAACAACAACAATAATAATAATAATAATAATATCAAAAAGCAATGATAAAACTAAAAACTTCATAAAACTCTGTAGGGCGTCAGCCACCAACTCTTCAGCAGCTGATCTCCACTGCTTATTGCAATCTAGAGATGAAAACCGATTATTATGATACACACACACACACACACACACACACACACACACACACACACACACACACACACACACACACACACACACACTCAGGCAAGCTCAAAAGTCCGGTGGCAGAGGGACATCTTGCCAGCCCGCAGTTTCTGAGATTCGAGCGATGAGCTCGTCCGTGGGCTCGTCGACGGTAACGTTGTAGTACTTCTCCCAATCAAACACCCTATTCGGTCTGAACGGCCTGACCCTTGCGTCGTTGATCGGGCGGTCATTAACCGACCTCAAGGCCCCATATTGGTTGGGCCAGTGACGTGCCAAATGGAAGATGTGATGAGCTGCCTTGGACTTCTTTCCCGCCTCGAATATGTTCGCCTGCGATACCACTTTGCCGTGATAGGTCACTCCGATGGCGTAGTACTGCCAATGCTTGTGGTAATTGTTGAAAACGTGGGCCATTCCGGCGAAGACACGTGGGTTCCTCTGGATGGTCCCATTGTAGAAGTTGTGATGCGCTGTTATCCTCAATGCATCCGACCCTTCTCCCGCAAAAGATTCGTTAGCGTCCGCCTGAGAACCGAAGAGGTGCACCTTGTTGTGCTGATAGAGCAGGCAGTGCGAGATCGTCACATTGGTCGATCCCCTCGTTATGTCAATCAACCCATCACCGTATCTTGACAGGCTGACGTGGCTAATCCACACCGTCCTTGTGGCGCGCTTCAGAGTGATGGCATCCCCCCATCCTTGGCGGAAAATAAGGTTGTAAATGATGACATTGTGCACCCCTCGCAGAAAGAACCCGTCTTGGGAGATCACGATTCGCTGCCCCCTGCCGTCGATGGTCTTGTCCGAGGTAACGATGATCGGACGGCGGAGATTGATGGTGCCCGACAAGTCGAAGACGATCCAGAGGGGGTGTCGGGACCCCGCGCCCTCGCGGAGACTCCCCGTGCCGTTGTCCGCCAAAGTAGTCACGTGGAAGACCTGCCCGAACAGGCCCCCCACAGCATGCTGGCCGAAGCCGTCCGCACAAAACGACAAACCCCGCAGCCTCGACTTGTCGCACACCGGCGGCACACGAGGCGGGTACCATTCCCGCACACGGGAGTGTGTGGTGGTGGACGTCCTCAAGCTGCTGCTGCTGCTGCTGCTGGTCCTCTCCTCCTCATCGCCTCCTTCTCCCTGCCCAACTCCAGGTCCTCTCTGAGGGACAGAAGAGGTGGGATTGGTGGTGGTGATGGCGGCGTCGGGCACCAGGTCTGGGTCATCCGTTGATGTCTCGTAGTCGGGACCCGGATTAACGACACCGTTGACATCACCAAAAGAAGCCAAGAACGCTGCGACCTCCTCCTCACCCGCTTCCCCGACGAGTTTGTCCACCGCCTTATCGTTGACGACACCCAGTGCCACCCCCTCCTTCTCCTCCTCCTCCTCCTCTTCCTCCTTTTTCGTCTCCTTCTCCTTCTCCTTCTCCTTCTCCTTCTCCTTCTCCTTCTCCTTCTCCTCCTCCTCCTCCTCCTCTTTCTCCTCCTCCTCTTTCTGGTTGTTCTCGGATGTGCCCTGATCGTCACTGACACTATCAGTCACGTTTTCAAGGGGTAACTTGTTAGCCAGAGCAATGGGAACTAGAGAGGGAGAAAGAGAGGGAAAGAGAGAGAGAGAGGGAGAGCGAGAGGGAGACGGGGAGGAATAGAATGGGAGAACATTCTTCTCTACCTTGCGGAGGCGGTAACCACCTCCATTGCCACCCGGATTCAGCTCTTCATGCCGCCGTCCGTTCTTGCCAATCTTTGCAGCATTTGCAAGGCCATGGTTGGAGAAATAAGAGGGATAGGGGAAGGAACCAGAGGAGGAGGAGTTTCGTGATAGACACAAGGCCCTCCCACAGGCTTGCAGTCCGTATCTTCCACAGGAGCAGTAGAGTGGGGCGTCATTCGGAGGGAATCTCCCACTGTCACTGTCCTTTCCCAGGTGTGCTCTATTAAACCCCCCACCTTGGATACCCAACACCGGGGTTGGGAGGTGGAGGTAAAGGTGAACCACAGCCAGAAGCAGTAGAAGGGGGGCTACCGATAGTTGTCGCCGGGCTTTTTCTCGGTGGCCTTGTTGCATAGTACTAATTCGTTGCCCGGGGGGCGGGGCGCATTTACTATCTTGGGGGGGGGTATTAAACTGGGGGTTCCTTATTGATCCCAAGAAGCCCGTGCAGTGGCAGCAACTTTCCATTGGGGGATAACTCCTTGGAATCATCGATCGCCTGACTACGAGGAGCAACTGGCAAAAAAAAAAAAAAAAAAAAAAAAAGACTACGAGGAGCAACGTGGAGCAAGCAGCAGCACAAGTTCGGTTGTGGTCACGTAAATGTTCCCACGACTTTTTTTTTTCTTTTTTTTTGGTTGAGGAAATGTCCCCACAGCTAAACGCAGAGGCGCAGTTTTATCACGTAAATGTCTCCCTCACCTTTATTATTATTATTATTTTATTTTTTTTTGGGGGGGGGCGGCCGGGGACGTGGGGGGACGGAGTGTCCCCACCACAGCTACACGCAGAGGGTATGGGAAATCAATTCTGAATCACTTATTCTGGTGTCTGTTCATAGAACCTTCGCCCCCCCAATCCGGGAATACTCACACTAGGACTTCTTTACTTGTTTCTGGACGTAATTGCGGTCGTATGCATCCAGCTCTGGCGGTAAATACGGTCAGATAAGTGTAAGATAGAGCGAGAGTGAGTACACCCTCCGTGACAACAAGATAAGAGGAGATAACATGCCATGGCCTTCCCTCCTCCTCCACCCCCATTTATCTTTCTCTGTTCAAATGATTGGTATTGTCCAATGATCGACATTGTCTAATGATTGGCAAGAAGAAGATCAAATTAATGATTAGCAAGAAGATATAATGATTGGGCATCACGGGTTTAGCAAGAAGATATAGTGACTAGCAAGAAGATGTAATGATTAGCAAGAAGACATAATGATTAGCAAGAAGATATTCAGATTAACAAGAAGATATAATGACGATTGTGTCTGCTGCTGCCTCGATGGAACGAGCTCTTCTCTCTCTCGCTGGCTCTCTCTCCTGTAGAGTCTGTCCTGCAGATGCATGCACAATACCAGATTTATGGTCAGATTCATCTTTACTCATCCACTCATGGTCGGATTCATCCTCAGATTTATCAGCATTCTGGACGGTTCGAATCCTAAATGACAATGACAAAGAAAAAGAAAAAGAAAAAGAAAAAGAAAAAGAAAAAGAAAAAGAAAAAGAATAATAAAAAAACTCTTCTGACTGTTGGCTTTCAACATGATGGCAGTAAATGCACAGAAACAAACGTCAGGGTCGAGGTCCCAGTAGCACATTGGATTGGATTTTAATGTCTTCCGAATCTGGTTGTGTTCGTCGACAGGTGCAGAAAATTACAACTGACAGAATGTTCCGCATCTCTCCATAGATCACATCCAGATTCACGCGCTGAATCCAATCCTCTTCGCTTGTGAAGGACCTCGCCCCAGGCCGTAGTCAAAATGCCTGATTCCCCTGAGCGTTACTCTCCTCGCCTGAATCTCTGTACGGGTGTCAGCAGAGATGAAGAAAAGCATATCAATCGCGATTTTCTGCACCTATCCACAACCACGTCCAGATTCAGGCATTAATTCCAATCCTCTTTGCTACTGCGACTTCGCCCCTGAGGGTCCGGATTTCATAGAAATTCAGTTACTTGAAAACTTTCTCTCTCAAAAAAAAAAAAAAAAAAAGACTAGCATGCCACCGGCGCAGGGCGGAAAGAAAACAAGACAAAAAAATCCAAATTGCAAAGTCGCATTGAAAGCCAGATAGTCGTGAACTGTCCAGAAAGCAGAAATGCACCCAAAAAAAAAAAAAAAAAGATTGCGCCGATCTCAACGGGACGGGATCTGTCTCCCTTCCACCACTCACCCCCCGTTTCTCTCTCTCTCTCTCTCTCTCTCTCTCTCTCTCTCTCTC